CCTTCCAGAGCTGTTATCCTGGTGTATCTGACACCCGGGATGAGCTCTGCCTTCCAGAGCTGTTATCCTGGTGTATCTGATACCTGGGATGAGCTCAGCCCTCCAGAGCTGTTATCCCGGTGTATCTGACACCCAGGATGAGCTCAGCCCTCCAGAGCTGAGCAGGTGTTCAGGGAGACAGGGCTGGAGTCACCCTCACTGACAGCCCTTCCCGCTGGATACGGGACAGGGATCAGACACTGCCCCCAGGAGAAGGCCAGAGGGTTGTACCAGTGGGACCTTCGTTAACTGTGAATTAATTGGGTGTTTCCCCGCAGGGTCGGACAATGAGTCGGATGAGGAAGGCACAGGGAGAAAGCCCTTGACAGCTCAGGTAAACTGAGGCAGCACAGCCCGAGGCTGGGACTGTCCCTGTCCCTCTCCAGGCTGATGTGGGACTGTGGGAATCTCCCCAGTCCTGCTGTCCCCAATTCCACACCCTCTGCTCTGGGGACGTGTGGCCGAGCCCCTTGTGGCCACCACAGGAAGGGTCCTCTGAGTCCCCCAGCTTCACCCCACTCCCCCAGGGCTGTGTCTTCCTCCCTGCAGCATCCCACAGGGATGTGTCCTGGCTCTGCTCCTGCCTGTCCTCCTTCCATCCCTGCTTTTTTGGTCGCATTCCAGCACGGGCATCACCCCCCTGTCCCAATGACTTGCGGGGTGGCCCTTCACCTCCCCAAACCCTGGCAGGGCACGGGCTTTGTGGCCTTTTCCAACGGTCCTGCTGCCATTCAGCCCCCGTTGTGGCTGCTCCAGGAAGGAAGCTGCACATCCCAGAGCCCTTTGCCTGCTGGAAGCCCTCACGCTGAGGCAGGAGCCGCAGCTGGTGTGTGGATCCGAGCCAGGGCGGGGAGCGTGACTTGGAGCTCCAAAATGAGGCCTCTGTGACCCAAATTAAGAGATTTCTGATCCCCTTTTCCCTGTGCCAGCCTGGAGAGTCGAGGGGGGGGGAGGAAGCAGCCTTACACACACCCCCCTCAGGCCTCCTGCACGCCCAGCTAATGAAACCCTCCCTGCTTTCCCAGGAAAAGGAGTATGTCCGACAAGGCAAGGAGGCCATGGAGGTCGTGGACCAAATCCTCGCCCAGGAGGAGAACTGGAAGTTCGAGAAAAACAATGCAAGTGTGATGTGTGTGTCCCCCCCCACCTCCCAGAGCTGGCAGAGGGCACGGATGGCTTAGCAAAAACCGGGACAAACGAGGCTTTGGAAGCCTCCTTGCGCCATGAAAAATTAACAAGCGTTACAATTACCTGATTGAATTAGGAATCTCTTCCAGTTCAGTTAAATGCAAAATCCCCTCTTATTTAATTAGACGTTTAATTGCCTTGCAGTTTGACGGGAGCAGGAGCTCAGCCCTCCTCCCTCTGGCCGGTGGTGGGTGGGCAGGGGTGGAGGGCTCACCTTTGGGGTGAGCGCTGGAATGCTGCTCCCATGGCTCCAGCTCAGCTCTTACTCCTTAGAAAGGTGCCTTGGAGCCTACTGGGTGGACCCAAACTCAGGTCTTGGCCCACGTGGCAGCAGGAAGTGTGGGGTACAAACTGCTCTTCCCACCCCCAAATCCACCCTGAGGGTGTCCCCCCTTCCCCAGCACAGGGACCTGGAGTGTAAATCTGGGATGTGTCTTTGCCCACCCCAGAATTTCCTGGGGTTCCCAGAGCTCTGAAGGGTGGAGGGAAAGAGGAGGTGTCTCTGCCCCCCAAACCCAACCAGTTTTATTTTTTTCTGGGGTGGAAACACGACAGGGGAGGTGCGAACCCTGCAAAGTGCTGTCTCATCTGGTGTTTCAAATTCCCCTGTCAAGTGATCCTTTGTCTGATGCCAAACTAGCTGGGCAGATTGTTTTCTTTTTCCAAAGGGGGATGGATTTAAATAGACTAATCAGAGTTTAACACAGGGCTAACGATGAAAGGTTTTCCTGTGCCCGTGCCCAGCCCCCGGGGGGGGGGGCTCAGCTCCAGTGGCACTGGCAGCGCTGGCACCGACCCCCCTCTCCTGCCCCGGTGCTGCAAAGAGAGTTTGACCTTGACGTGGGGTTTTGCAGGCTGGCACGGGGCGGATTCTTTTTCTGTCTCACCCCTGCTGCCTCTCTGGATGTTGTTTTGTTGATGGAAATTTGGGCACGGCCAACTGAAACGTGCTCGGGGCGGTTTCTGTGCCCGCTGTGGGGGACAGGGGGATGTTGGAGGGGAGAAAGGGGTCCCTGGGGGTGGCAGGAGCCTCAGGGTTTTGCCTGGCTTCACCCCAAATGGGAGCAATTCCTTTTGCTTACACAAATACAACTTTCTTATCTCTTGCACAGGACTTTGGTGATGTTGTTTACACTTTTGAAATCCCTTTCCACGGCAAGACCTTTATTTTAAAGGTAAGAACCTCCCCAGATCGATTCCTCGGCCAGCCTGGCACGGGCAAAGGGCCACAGCTCAGCTTTCAGGACAGGTCAGGGCTGCAGAACACGCTGCCTGTGCTTGAGACAGATGAACTGCACTGGGGAATCTCTCCAGGAAAACCCCTTGGCCGGCAGACAAACTCCCCAGCAAACATCCCGGGCCCCAGACTCTGCCGGGAGAATTGGGAGCAGGTGACTGCAAGACTCGCTTCCAACCCCAGCATCTCGGGCTAATCTGACCAAGGAGGCTAATTGGAACTAATTGCCAGCAAGACCAGGGCTGAGCAGGCGTCTGCTGCTGCCTGGCACCGGGAAGAGCCGCTCGGAAGTGCCTTGCTCCGTGCCCTCTCCCAAGTTGGAGAGCCTTGGCTGGGAACCACGCTCTAATGAAGCGGCGGCGCTGCCGTGGCTTCTCTTTGTTCCAGTGCATATGTTGCCTCGCTGGCAGGAGCTGCCAGTGGAGCAGCTTCTTGTGTGTGTTCACCAGGAAAAGCTGGATGGTCCCACTTTTACTGCATTAACCGTTTGCCTCCAAAGATCCCCCGGTCCCGTGGGGATGTGTGTGGGGTGGGAAGGGATGGTGGGCGTGGTGGAGCTTGGAACGGAGCTTGGAGAGTCAAAAATGCGGCTTCCCGAAGCAATGGTGCACAGGGAGCTGCTGGGATTTGGGGTGGGAGAGGAGGCAGACAGACAGAACCTTGCCCTCACGCCAGCACGGAGCTCAGTGCTCCCAAATCCTGCGGGTTTGTGCCCCCCAGTCCCTTGGGAGCACTGGGACAGGGGTGACACCCGTGGCTTTGGCTGTACACAAGCCAGGCCGCCCTCCAATATGATCCCCCTTGTCCTTTGTGTCCTGCCCTGTGTTCCTTAAAAATAATCTTCCCCAAGGGGAGCAGAGGGCCTGGCTGACTGCTCTGCCTGCGTCCTCAGGCTTTCCTGCAGTGCTCTCCCGAGCTGGTTTACCAGGAGGTGATTCTCCAGCCGGAGAAGATGATCCTGTGGAACAGAACAGTGGCAGCGTGCCAGGTGAGCGTGCTGGACAAAGATGGCTTAATCACAGGAGCTCCTTGGAGCGGAGAGCTGGAGCTTCCCAGCCCAGCACAGGCTGCTGGCAGTGCCCAGGCCGTGCTGGAGCCGAGCTGGGTCCCAGTCGCTGAGGCGTTAAATCTCCGCCGCTCATCCCAGCGCTGCGCGGCAGCCGCTGCCTGAGCCCGGCCAAGAGCCCGTGAGGTGGGCAGGGAGAGGGGCCAAGGCTGAGCCGAGCCTGCCTGTGCTCGCTGGAGCGTCTGGGCGTTGTGCTGGGGAGCTGGAGGTGACACCTGTGCCCCCCAAAAGACTCGGGAGACAAACCCGTCACACGCCACCAGCGAACTCACCCCCCTCCACTGTAAAGACCCTGTGGGTGCTCTGATCCCGGTGCTGGTTTGGGGGAGGGAATGTATCCCCCAGCTCTTGGCACTTGGAGGCACAGTCTGAGCGAATCTCTCTTGTTTTTATTTATCCCCTCCCCAGATCTTGCAGCGGATCGAGGACAACACGATTGTCTCGTACGACGTGGCGGCCGGAGCTGCCGGAGGGGTGGTTTCCCCAAGGTCAGTTCATCCCACTCTGTTCACGCTGAGCCCCCAAACACCCCCCAAACCACGGGCAGAGCCCTCTGAGGGCACTGGGAATGCTCTGGGCCGGCTGGGAGCTCCGGTGTCACCGCTGTGTGACCCTCCCAAGGGCGAGCAGCCCCTGAAATTTTCCTCCAGACATTCCTGGCAGGATTCTCCGAGCTCCAAACCTCAGGCGGCCGCTCGGTCGGGCTCCCACATATCAGTGCTGGCTGCGCTTTGTCCCTGTGTTGACACAGCCCTGCCACAGCCTTTCCCAGCAATCAGGGGAGCAGGATCTGCTCCCTCCACATGCCCTGTGTGTGTTCTGAGCAGGCAGTGCCCTTTCTCTGCTCAGGGATTTCGTGAATGTGCGTCGGATCGAGAGGAGAAGGGACAGGTACGTTTCCTCAGGGATATCGACCACGCACAGCCTGAAGCCTCCTCTCTCCAAGTACGTCAGGTAAGAGCCAGGGGCTCTTTTTCTCAGCTGGGATCGCTCACTTCAAACGAAGCTTTAGGGCAAAGAGCCACTTAGCTGCAAACCCTGCTGCCTTTCCTGGCAGGGCTTGCAGGAAGCCGAGCTATTTGTGGAGCCGAACCTCGCTTCCCTTGCTCGTCTCCCTTTGTTCAAGAAACTCTCTGTGCTGTCAGTGTTGCTGGGGCGTTTCCCAGCTCAGGGGAGTGGAGGTGCCCAACCAGCAGCAGCACCAGCCCCCGTCCCACTCTGCATCCTGTTTGTGCAGCAGGAATTTCGGAGGGGCAATAACAGCTGGATACACTCCCAGCCTCTCACATGCCTTGTGCTCCTCGTAAACCGAGTTTAAGACACGGAGAGAAGGTCCCGTGGGTGAAAGAAGGATGGAGCAGCTCCCAAAATCTCAGCAGGGCTTTGGCCTCTCCCGTTCTGAAGGGCCAGGCTGGTGCTGGGTCCTGGCAGGGTCGGGCTCAGCAGACAAGGACTCCTTGTTCCTGCCAGGGCCCAGCTGTGCCGCCGCGCTCCCACGTCGTTTTTCCCAATAATCTGGTTAAAGTAATTGCCATTTTATCTCAGAGCTGCCTCGCTCCATTTAAGAGCAGGGGACTTCGAGGCCTGGAAAAATCCTTTGACAAATGTACCCAGCAGAAACAGTGTGTTCTGGGGAGGGAAGGGAAGGGAAACCTGTGTTTGGGCTCTGTGTGTGTGTGCACAGCTCCCGTCTTGGGGACGGATCAAAAGGTGCCAGCAAGGATCTGGGGGCTGGAGTGACAGGATCCTTGTCCTGAGCCTGTCCTGAGCCACACAGGGCTTCCCTGGGACCTCTTGGTTGTGCCTGGCTGGGAAACCTTCCCGTGGGGAAGAGCTGGCACCGTCCAGAGGCAGAGCTGCTGCTCTGGCACCGCCGCTGCCAAGGCACCTGTGGGAAGCCTGCCCTGCCGTGCTGGCTCGTGCACCTGGAGCCAAGGAACACCTTCCCAGGCTCTCCACATCTGCTCCTGCCCCGCTGGGCCCCAGCCCTGGCTGCTGGGCAGGATCCACGTGGAGCATCCCGGAGAAGTATGGGATTCCAGCCAGCCCTGGCTCTGGCTGATCCTCTTGGCTCTGCTCCACAGGGGTGAGAATGGACCCGGAGGATTCATCGTCCTGAAGTGTCCCAGCAACCCCAGGGTCTGCACCTTCGTCTGGATTCTCAACACAGACCTGAAGGTAAAGCCAGCTCCTGGTCCCCAGCGCAGCTCTCCCGGGGGCTCTGGCATCCCAGGGCCCTGCTCCTGGATCCCAGCAGCCACGGGAGTGGTTCCTTATCAAACACTGCCCTGGAGAGACTCAGGTGGAGGTTAAACTACCCCAAAATCCCCCTCGTTGCCCTGGTGGGGAGGTGGAGAAGCTCTTCCTTACCTGAAATATTTAATTTAGGGGTTTCACCTCTGAGTGCAGGACTGGGGGAAGGGAGGTTTTTATCCAGTTTGGGAACAAAAAACCGTTGGCCATGGGAGTTGTGCCTGGCTGCTCCCAGGAACACTCCGAAGGGGCAATTCCCAGCTCCAACACCCCCGGTACAACCACAGTCACCCCGTATCCACCCGGGGGGAACAAGGTTTCCCAGGTCTGGAGCTTTTTGTGGAGCTGCTGCCGGTGGCCTTGCCGGTGTCCCGGACAAAAGGGTGGCCCGGGAGGGCCCGGGATGGGGCGGGAGTGGGAGCAGGAGCCGGGCCCGTTCCTGCCCCCGCGGAAGGTTGACGTGGTAACCCGCAGCGGCACAAAGGCTCCATTCATCGCTGTGCTGCAGCAGCCCCAGCCCTCCCCTCCTTCCCCTCCCACGGCCCTCTCCCCTCCCCTCCCCCAGAGGCTCCTGCCTGCCTTGCCAAAGGCTTTGGGAAGGCTTTGGGAAGCGCTCCGGAGCGGGGCAGTGCCCTCCCGCCCCGTTGTGACAGTGCCCTCCCGCCCCGTTGTGCCAGGGATGTGTTTTCTCCTTCATGGATCTGGCTCCGATGCCTGTAAGGGGTTTGGGGGGGGGGTAACAAACCCCTGTGACGGGGCTTGGAAAGAGAAGAGGTTCCTTGTGCTTCCCGGGCCGGAGCCGCCTCCGCAGTGGGAGGAATTCCGGAGCGGCCGAGCTATAAATAACCCCCAACTGCTCCCAGCGCCTTCCCCAGGGGCTCTGCCAGTGCCCAGAGCCCCTCTGGAGCTGCTGGCTGCTTCCTTTGGCCCTGGAGGGGTATTTATAGCCCGTGGCTCATCCCTTCCTGCTCCGGGGGGGGGAGGATTCCGCACGTGTGTGTGTTTGGGTCTGTGTGGGGAGGTGACTGAAATGGCCCCTGGAACAGCGGCCTCGCACTCTCCTGCCCTTTTATCAGAGAGGAAACCCTCTCCAGGGAAAAATCTGTGCTGGAACCCCCCAATCCAAAGGCAGGGGGGTGTCCTGTGCTCGTCTGACCCCCAGGATAGTTGCCCACTCATCCCTCCCTGCTCGGGACCCCCGGAGCAGCTCCTGGCCCTGCCTGGGCTCCCTTCCCCCTGCAGGGACTGGGATTATTATTTTTTTCCTGGATCTCCCATCACGGAGCCGAGGCCGAGGCGGGTGGGGGTGAGTCGTGCAGGGCTTTTTTAGGGAAAATCAAACCATGTTGCAGATCCTCCCCCGGATCTCGGAGCTCCGCGAGAGCCGCAGCTCCGCGCCGTGGTGCTCCTGGAGCATCCCTGGAGCATTCCTGGAGCCCCTACCTCAAACCTCACATAGGGTTCCTGCACCCCTGGAGCCCCCCCGGAGCCCCCAGCCCCAAACCTTGCTCGTGGCTCTGTGTCCCTGTCCCTGGAACCCCCTGGGATGGGACGGGATGGGATGGGGTGGGATGGGATGGGATGGGGGCAGACCCCAGCCCCAGATTCTGCTCATGGCTTCATGTCTCTGGAACTTCTTGGAATGAAACAGGAGCAGCCCCCCGGCCCAAAACCCTCACCTGTGTCCCTGCAACACCCCTTGGGATGGGAAGGGGACCAGCCCCCAGCCCCAAACCTCACCCATGGCTCCTGCATCCCGGGAACTTGCCGGGGTGGGATGAGGGCAGCTCCCATTCCCAAGCTTGTGCTCGTGATTCTGTGTCCCTGGAAGGCCCTGGGGGTGGGATGGGGCCGGCCCTCAGCCCCCAGCCCCTGTGCCAGCCCCGTGTGTGTCCCTGCAGGGTCGGCTGCCGCGGTACCTGATCCACCAGAGCCTGGCTGCCACCATGTTCGAGTTCGCCTTCCACCTGCGCCAGCGCATGGCCGAGCTCTGCTCCAAGCCCTGAGGACATTCCACGGCCCTCTCTGCTCCGGAGGGGGGGGGGACAGGACCCTACACCCCCCCCAGAGAGGGGACCCCCCGCTGCCAGCGCTGGGCTGAGCCCGGGGAGGGGGCTCAGCTCCTCCTGCCCCCTCGTCGGGGCCCTGGAACCACTGACTGTTACGTGCCAAACCCCTGCCCTGCCCTCCTCTGGGGCTGGGCTGGCCCCCCCTGCCCCACACAGGGCAGGTGTGACCCCCTCCTGCCCCACACAGGGGGTGGGGGCTCAGCTGTGACCCCCAAATTCCTGTCCTTGCGCCCCAATTCCGTGAGGAAGAGGAGATGGGGGTGGAGGCTGCAGTGGGGTGAGGGCACACCCGAGCCCCGTGCCAGCTCTGACGTCGGGGTTTAGGCACAGCCTGTGTCCCCCCACACCCCCTGTGCCCCCCGGGGCTGTGCCCCCCACCCCGGGGGCACGGCTGGGACTGCACAAACCCCCTCCCCGGGGCCAGCCGAGCCCCCTCCCCCTTCCCGATCCCGCAGCTCCCGGCGCGGGATTTGCCTTAAGCAGAGACTTTGATCCTTTTTGGGGGTGTGGGGGGGGGGTTGGGGGTTGGGGGGGCGCGGGGGCGACTGCGGTTTCTCTACCTGTGAGCACCGTGTGCTGCTCTAAAAACAGCAGCAGCAGCAGCAGCGCGGGGCCCCCCCCGCACGCGGGGGCTGCACGAAGAGAGAGGGGAGGGGGGCACCCAGAGCAACCCCCCCCCCCCTCCCCCCCGGGGCTCTCTGCACCCCTCCACCCCCCCCATGGCCTGGGGATACGACCCCCACCCCGAAATCTCTGAGGGGGGAATTAAAGCCTTGCACTGTTTGCAGCTCCTCGTGCCCTTTGTCACCCGCGGGGATCGAAGCCCAGGAATGGGGTCACTCCAAATCCCTCTCCCCACCCCGGGCACAAAGGACGGGGTCTCCAGGCTCCTTTGGGTGGTGGCAGTGGCTGTGGGTGTCGCTGCTCCTGGGTGTCACTGTCCCCCACCCCGTGGTGGCACCGGCAGCTCCAGGGGCGAGGAGCCTCCACGGCTGCACCGGGTGCCCCCCGTGCCCCCCAACCCTCGGTGCTTCCCTGGGGTGGGACCCCACAGCTGGGAGGGCCTGGAGCCCCATGTCCCCCCCTTGTCACCAGCCCTGTGCCTGTGAGCCCTGGGCTGCTGGCACCCGGCAGGCCCTATAAACAACCTGGGGGGGAACCCTATAAACAGCCTGTTTGGGGTGCCCTGCAGCCAGAACCCCCCTTGTCCTGGGGGAGGGCCCCCGATGTCCCTCTGGTGGCACAGGGCGGCAGTGGCACCACGTTGGCAGTGGCACCCCCCGCCTTCATCGACCCCCTCCGGGGTCTCGGGGGGGCAGGGAAAGGCCGGACGTGCCCTGGGCGGGGGTCAGGGGGGATCCTGCCGGTGCCATCACGTTGCTGGCAGTGGGGGGGTTACACGCCCGTGGGTGGCACACGCAGGGGTGACACGTGTCAGCGGTGCCACCCCCCCAAAAACCCCCTCCTTGGCACCGTCCCGTGCCCGCCGTGCCAGAGACACGTCCCAAAATAGCCCGAGCGGGGCCATAAAAGCGGGGCGGGTGCGGGGGGGGGGCACTGGCACCATGGTGGGCCCTGGCGTGGTGGGGGGCTGCGGCGGGGGGCTCTCGGCCCGTCTGGGCTGCTCTGTCAGCGAGCGGGACGTGGGCAGGGGAGAGACCTTCAGCGCTGAGTGGCTGGACCTGGAGCTCAGCACCCGGCCCGAGGAGCGGTGAGGGGCACGGCCAGGGGGGCACAGGGGGGCACAGGGTGCTGGGGGCGAGGGACACCGAGGGACACGGGGTTTTTGTGGGGCGTTGGGGTTGTGGGGGGCTCCAAGGGTTCCGGAATGTGGGGTTTCTGTGGTGCCCTGGGGCTCCGTGCGTCCCAAACCAGGGGTTCCATGGGGTCTTGGGGTTGTGGGTGGCTCCAGGGGTCGTGATGGGGGGCTTTGGGGGGTTCCAAGGGTCCCAAAATATAGGGTTTCCGTGGTGTCTGGGGACTGTGGGGCGCTCCATGGGGTTCCATAGGGTCTTGGGGTTGTGGGCGGCTCCAAGAGTCCTGATAGGGCTTTGAGGGGCTCCAAGGGTCTCAAACTGTGGGGTTTCCGTGGGTTTTTTGGGGCTGTGGGAGACTCCAGGAGTCCCAAAGTGAGGTGTTTCCATAGGGTTTGGGGGCTATGGGGGGCTTCAAGGACCCTGATGGGGCCATGGGGCCGTGCAGGACACAGGGGTATCCTGGGGTCACTGCGGGATGGGGTGGGAGAAGGGGGTCTCCGGGGGTCCGGGGGGGGGGGGGTGGGACATGGGGGTCTCTGGGGGTCCCCACGGGATGGGATGGGACACAGGAGTCTCCAGGTGCTCCCATAGGGTGGTGCAGAACATGGAGGGGGGGAGTCTCCCGGCGGGATGAGGTGACCCCAACAGGCCAGAGCAGGACAGGGGGGTCCCTGTGGAGCTCTGGGATCCCTGTGCTCACCCCAACAAACCCCCCCTGCCCAGGTGGTGCCGGCGGGAGGTGGACACGGCGCGCCGGGAGTCGCTGGAGCAGCGCGGGGCCGTGCGGGTGCTGCAGCAGCGCTCGCCCTGGGGGCTGCTCCGGGTGGGGGTCCTGGGGCAACCCCTGGCCCAGCACCTCCTGCCCTACGCCCGCACCTTTCCCGTGCCCCTCTTCGCCCCCCCAGACCTCCGCGGAGCCAAGGGGGGGCTCCCCCGGACCCTCTCCCGCTCCCTCTCCCACGAGGCCCAGCGGGGCTGAGCGGGGACAGGGGACGGGGCGGGGGGGTGGGGTCGGGGTTGGGGGGACACGAGGCTGATTTTGGGGGGCTGGGGGGACCCAGAGACCTGGGTCCGCTCAGCCACCCCGAAGAGGCAGCGCAGGAGGGAGGGGGCAGGTGGGGGTGGGCTCCCCTCGGCCTGGGAGCCCACCCCGCTGAGGGCGCGGGGGGGGCCGGTCGGGACGGGGTCCCTGCGGGTCGGGGGCCTCCCGCACTTCGGGGGGCTCCCAGCAGCACCAGCGTGACTCAGTTTCCCTGGCAAAGAGACGGGAATGCGAAGATGAGGAGCGTTGAGATCCGCCCGGGGCCCAGGGGGGGCCCTGGGGGGGCTGTGGGGAGGGGCGGGGGGGTGGGCTGGGGTTGTACAAACGGTGGTATTTGTACGTCAATAAAAGGCTCAGGCTGTGCAGGAGGTGTCTTTGGGGGGGGGTTGGAGGAGGGGGTGAGGCTTAGGGGGAGAGGGACCTTCTGTGGGATGTGGGACACTGAGGCACAGCAGCTGCAGGGACACGGGTGTCCTGCAGGGTTTGGGGGGGTGGATTTGGGGGGGGGGGGCCCCTTGTGCTTATATAACCCCCTGTTGTCGCC